CAAAATGTAATGAACAGCATATAGAGAAATAAGAATGTAAAATCCTCTTTGCGATCACAATTTAACTGAGTTATACCACAAAATACGTATTGTAAGGGTCCGTTTTCTATAATTTCAATTCTGTATGATTTGTGTGTGTGTGTTATGCATGTGATAAAAAAGTGAATGATTCAAGTTATCAAAAAGATAAAATCTTGCAGTTGCTGAATTTTGAAATGTAATTAAGAACATATATAGTTTTTTTTCTATAGCTTCAAATTTCTAGCGGTTAACGAGTAAAAAAGATAATGTTAGTCTCTAGTTTTATTTTTCCCCTCAAATATCTCATTAGGAACGGAAATTCTCTTTTCAACAGAAAGCCTTTTTTATTTATTAATTTTTTCCAGCATTTTTTTTCGTGTCTTTCAGTTTCATTTGAATTTAAATCTCTTTATTTTCCTTCTTTATTTCATGATTTCTTTTTAAATGAACACCTTTTTTCATGTCTCTCTCTCTCTCTCTCCTCTCTCTCTCTCTCTCTCTCTCTCTCTCTCTTCTCTCTCTCTCTCTCTCTTTTATGAACAGTTTATTAATTATGATACAGGCTTGCTCATCACCAGCACTACTTGCTAAAACTCAAAGAGTGACCTTTAGAAAAATACAAATTGATCTAAATGCCAAGTCTAGAGATGCATTTACAATGCAGAGAATGCAGTAGACACGAAATTTCACAATGGTTGTTCCTTTATCCAAGTGTTGACTTTTGCCTTGAAGTCTGCCATTGACTTTGCTTGACCTACATTCGGTTTGGTACATATAATTAATTTAGAGAGATTATGAAGTCAGTGAATGCCTCTGCTTGTCTATCAATGTTCCCCGAAAGTTCATGCTCTCAGTTCATATTTGCAGGGACGTTTGGGACAATCTGCCTTGTCCCACAGCCAGATGGTGCGATCTGTTGCCTCGTCAAGCTGTAGGTCAATTTTGATGACTGTAAGTACAAGCGTGTGGTCAGATGATCCTACAAAACCCAGTGGTGAAGAACTGACCTTATTCTCTGGAAAATCTGTCACCACAGAGTCCAGGGAAGAACCAGATTAATGTGTAGGAAAAAGTAATGTGATTCTGTAGGCCATGTACCATCATAGGGTCGCTGAATGATCTAGCCACTAGTTAATGATTGAGATCACCAACAAGAATCATCTTCTTGCAGGAATATGCATGCAGTATATAATCTAACTGGTCCATTAGAAAAAGTAGTGGTTCGCTGCCTTGCCATTGTGGTTTATAGGGACGGTTATCGTGACGTCACCAGAGATGTCACGTGATCAATCGTAGGCAGTAGTGGACAAAAACAACAAAATCCCACGAACTTCGTTATTAAGTATTGGTCTGTCGTGAACATTTATATAAGATTCGCATCCTTTTTCACCCTTTTCTAAGATACTTCGACATGGTAAACAGTTGCATTATTATTGGATGTGCAAATGGACAGCAAAAAGGTTCAACTTTGAGTTTTAATTGTTTTCCGAAAGACCCCGAGAGAAGGAGGCTTTGGCTATCAATCGCAAGAACTTTGATCCTGCACCTGGGAGTGATGTAAGATTTTGTGCTAATGGTACGTACGATAGCTTTTCTATTAAGGTATTCTAAAATTTAAACCGTTATGTTATATCGTCATAACTCTTTCTAGGGGATGTATTTCCCTGTGGTTAAGCATAGGCCTAGGCGGTGGTAGATGTTGTGGGTAACTGGTTACTATTGAGTATCTTCTTTCACTTTGTTTCAGTTAATTTGATTTTATAACTTTCCCTGAACAAAGGTCGTAAGACATTAAATGGGAACAAAATGAAGATAGTAAATCTAATGGCTGCTATACTGCCTCTCCCAACGTCTTCAGGAAATTTGTTGAAATCTCTTCAAGGTATCATGATGAGTACTGCGTGTGAATGTAAATTTAACCTTTTAGAAAAGTCTGGCAATAACGTCCGAAAAATATTGATAAAACCCGTTTTGAGCAACTTCTCGAAAAAACAGGCCTAAAAGGCAAAGAGCGAGCAAGAAAGAATTTCACAAGTTCAGGAGAATTTAACCTTACGACTACGAAGCAGTCTTTTTAAAAACAGTATTGAGTACTTACTTGTACCCTTCCAGAGATTTGTAGGCCTTTAATTCTTTTCATATGTAAACACCAGGTAAATACTTGAAAACTTCGAGTGATTTGTAGGCTTTCAACTCCTCTTCTGTGTAACTACCCGGCGTGTGTATTAGGTAGAGATAAATATCACCAAAACTAACATGGACCAACCATTGGGGCTTTGCGACCAGCCATCGGAGAGAGAGAAAAGGTCTGGTAAGCTTTCTGTACCTTTAGAAGACTTCAGTTTTTCATCATGATGTTTTTAGCAACATTATTTCCAAGTGTTCAGGCATGTGCACTTCGAGTTGCTGTACGCAAAACTGTTGCGGAAACAAACAGCGATTCCTCCGAGTGTTTTGCTTTCTGTTCCTTCGGTGCCAAGGTGTGTAGCCGCTGATATGCCGAAGTTTAGAGGAACAGGAAAGTTTTCACGGTAAACATCTCTCTCGGCTCTCACACACACACACACACACACACACACACACACACACACACACACACACACACACACACACACACACACACACACACACACACACACACACACACACACACACACACACACACACACACACACACACACACACACACACACACACACACACACACACACACACACACACATACACACACACACACACACATCTCTCTCTCTCTCTCTCTCTCTCTCTCTCTCTCTCTCTCTTCTCTCTCTCTCTCTCCTCTCTCTCTCTCTCTCTCTCTCTCTCTCTCTCTCTCTCTCTCTCTCTATCTCTCTCTCTCTCTTATTATTTTTTTTGTCGCGACCCAGAGAGACAACTCCTCCAACAGAAAACGGAAAGAAAACGGACAAACTGGAGCCATTCCAAAACGTTTTTTTTATGATTCACTGAAAACGTTTCTCTCGATTGATTGACACGTGTCCGTCGAGGTTGCTCATGCTCGCTGTTGCTGTGAATCCCTGTTCTTGTTGCGAATGGCCAGAGCTTGTCGAATAATCATAAAAATCATAATGGTAATGATGATGGTGGTGATGATGATTTGATGATGATTGATGATGATAATGATGATGATGATAATGATAATATATAAAATAATAATATTAATATTAATAACAATATCAATAATAATAACAATAATACTAGCAATAATAATAATTATTATTATAATGATATTAAAGGCTTTGATATGGAACATTGTATACAAAAGGTTAGGAGTGGATGAGTTAGAGATAAACGAGGAAAATGGATAAGTAAATTGTGAACTTGAGAGTGGCCTAGTAAACACTCTTCCACATATTTTTGTTCCCGAAGTACTACTTTTTTTTTACTAATTTGCTTACACCTATCATCAAAAATAAAGAAATAAACATGAACAATTGTCCCCGAATTACTGCTTTTTAAATAATTTACTTACACCTATCATCAAAAATAAAGAAACAAACATGAACAATTGTCCCGAATTACTACTTTTTTAAACATCATCAAAAATAAAGAAATAAACATAAACATCTGTCCTAGAGTAACTACTTATTAAACGAATTTACTTACACCTATCATCAAAAATAAAGAAACAAACATGAACATTCGAAGAAGAAAAATCCGCGCATTTCCTTGAAAACTGTGACGTAAAGAATCCACGAATCGTCATTTTTCGCGCGTTTGACACTTAACGGTTCCGCTAACCCAATAACCCCGCTGATTAAATTCTACGCGAGTTATTGACCATCTTTGACAGTTATCAGTGACTCCGAAGCACCGCCATGGGCCAAAAAAGCGAAAGGGCACAAAAAGTAGTTGGGTGCCGAGCTCGCAGTCCACACCTGGCACGGTCGCGCCGCCTGGATGGCGCCAGCACGCGAGACGCCTGGAAAACAACCCAGAATCTTTCGTTCTCTTCGCGTATTTTTTTCGTTCGGTGGGTCCCCTTTTCTTGGCCGGGATTGGGGTTAGTGGGGTTGTAAGTTTGTGTTGTTGGTGGTTCTCTGGTTTAGGTTTATCGTGGTTCTGTTTCCTGTTGAAATGTTGGTCGTGGAGTTCGGTGTTCGGGGAGTTTTTAAATATGTTTTCGAACGAATTTTTCGGTCTGGGTGTCGGGCATTTCGCGGCTGAGACAAATGCCCCGCTGCCTGGCGCCTCATGCACAATACCCGGCAACATCTGGAGGCTGCGCGGGTATACGTGCCATATATCTCTGGATGTTATCAACAAACCTCTTTAAAATCGATTAGATAACCAACTTCCGAAAATTTCGAATTGTCTTTCGCTCGTTTCTTTAAGAACAGCGAAGCCCCCCCTGAATATCTGCTGAGGGCACGCCAGGGCATCTGTTATGGAGTCCTAGTTATTCCCGCCTCCGGCAACTCCCGCGGGTAACCCTGGGTAATACACCACATGCCCCGCGACGCCGCCTTCCTTCTGTCCCTTAAGTCAGTGTGAAGTCAGTGACGGAGGAAGGAGGACGCGCCACCACGTCGTCGCTCCCGGTCGCCCCAACACGAGTCCTGGGAAAGCAAACAGGAAATGATCTTGAGCGCCCATTGTTTGTTTACGGGTTGTGCAACGGCTATCGCGAAGGATTTTCCGGGTCCTGAAATAGACATTCGTGAAACAAAAAATATAAGTATTTGTTTTATTAATGTTATACATTAGTGAGAGACCAAGCGTCCTTGTGTTTATGTAAATCGCCCCGCACAAAAGTGAAATATTCCCCGAGCCTTTAAGGGGCATTGCGGACCCCAGCACCAATAGCGATAGATAGGATCTTACTGCACCGTTGAAATCGCCGCGACGCGATGCCGGGGAGTCCTCCAGCGGAAGCTCTCTGAGGACAGCGGTCTCGTCCAGCGGGAGAGAGGAGGGAACGCGCAGGATTTGCTTGCGAGTCAACAGCTTCCGAACTCATGTGCAGGAACCAGCCCGTGCAACAGTCAGGTGAGTCTCATGGGTTTTACGTGAGTCTGGCGTTGGCGAGGTGAATATTATATATCCTGGCGAGTCTTACCTTCGCAGTTTTGCCGTGGGAAATTATGCAGTGCCGTTGCAGTCATTACCTTGTTCTTTATTTATGAGGCTCACCATAAGAGTATAGTTCAAGTTGTTGTTTTGAAAGAAAGGTCGATCATCGTCCTAGATTTTAATTAATTGCGTCAGTATTTGTTCAATTCCCTTATAAGAGCCTTGTCTTTTTTGTATGTTTAAATTAGGGAACCCTTCACAATGATTCCACGTGCATGGTGCCATAGCAGTGAGCTTAGCTGATGTTTATTTCATGATAATTTAGCTTGATGTTTATTTCATAATGTCTTTCCTACATTGATCGTAACGCTGTCAAGATTTACTAGGATCTCTTCTAGCACTGCCTCTATTTTCTTATTACGTATCATCTCACTTCTTTAGTAAAGGGGAAAGAGGAGGAGGGGGAGGACGATAAGGAAAAGAGGAGGAGGGGGCCGACCCATCCAGCGGCCCGCCCCGCCCCCGGGCCTACAATTAACGAAAGCCTGCCCCTCGTGTAAGGTGGAACTCCGCCTCCCTCCCCCCCTGCCGCGCGAAGAGAGTGCCAAGGTGCCCTCGTCCCCCCCGGGGCGGCCGAGGCAGCAGCAGGTGTCTCGTCTGCGCGTCGTGGTCCTGGGAGCCGAGGGCGTCGGCAAGTCGGGTGAGTCATGCTGCGGGCAAGTGGGCGTGCTTGTTTATGAGATAAGGATACATACATACATATATATATATATATATATATATATATATATAATATATATATATATATATATATATATATATATATATATATTAATATATATATTATATATATATTTATATATATATATATATTATATATATATGTATATATATATATATATATATATATATATATATTATATATATATATATATATATATATATATATATATATATATATATATTATGTGTGTGTGTGTGTGTGTGTGTGTGTGTGTGTGTGTGTGTGTGTGTGTGTGTGTGTGTAATAGTATATACATACACACACACACACACACACACACACACATATATATATATATATATATATATATATATATATATATATATAGAGAGAGAGAGAGAGAGAGAGAGAGAGAGAGAGAGAGAGAGAGAGAGAGAGAGAGAGAGAGTGTAACTTTGGACTTTGTAATTGATTGCCTTCAGAGATTGTAACTTCATCGACTCTTGATAATATTAAAAGATCATCTAACGTTTCTTACGTAAATAGCTGACTTTGTATTCTTTCATTCTTTCTTAGCTGTATCTTGACCTGCACTGACACCTTTTGTTGTATAAATATCGATTTTTTCAGTGTGGCTCCTTATATAGCTTACAATAACATATATATTATATATATATATATATAATATATATATATATATATATATATATATATATATATATATATATATATATATATATATATATATATTGTGTGTGTCTATGTTTGTCTGTCTCTGTTTGGTGTCTATGGGTGGATCATAGCATGTACCTAAATGTGTGTATGTGTGTATACTTGTATGTATTTGTTTTTAATATATATGCTTGCTCTCATCTTAGTATACATTTGGGCGTGAGAGAAAGCGCCCAGCGTCTCATGAATGCGCGCGCGTGTGTGAGTGATGAATTATTTACTCACAAAAAATCTCGTATGAATAAGGTATTGTTTGAATAATAAGCCATGATAAATACAGTACTCGGATTATAAGGTTCAAAAAGCTATCAGTAAAGTTAAAATGTGTGCGATCAATACAAGAGAAATTCATAATTTGGATATTGTAGTCGTGAAAATGTAGGCTTATCAGTTATATATAAAAACACTAGAAAAGGAAAAGAAAAAAATGTAAACTTAGCCGTGAATGTTGTAACTTTTTTTTACTATATATATATATATATATATATATATTTTTTTTTTTTTTAATATTAACTACCAGATTATTATCTATTATCATTATTTCACAAATTTCGGCTCTTCCAACACTGTTTATATTTGCTTATTATGTATCATTTTACTTCTTTAATAGAGGAGAAAGAGGGGGGAGGGGGAGGACGAAAAGAGAAAATATAACGGAAATCAGGATTAGAAAGAATTATAAAAAAAAAAGAAATCCTTCTCTCGACTCGCTTCTTCTCGTCTCACTTCGCCCAATATGGAGGAGTTATTCTTGGCTTTAAGAACTAGACATGCCATGACATGCCATCTCTCTCTCTCTCTCTCTCTCTCTCTCTCTCTCTCTCTCTCTCTCTCTCTCTCTCTCTCTCTCTCTCTCTCTCTCTCTCTCTCTCTCTCTCCCTCCCTCCCTCCCTCCCTCCCTCACTCACTCACTCACTCTCACACTCTCTCCCTCCCTTCTTCCTTCCCCCCTTTCTCTCCCTCTCCCATCCCCTTCTCCCTTTCCCTCTCTTCTTTCCCCTCGTCCTCTCTCTCATCAATTTCTTCTCCTTCACTTCCTTCTCACCCTTTCTTCTTTTCCCTCTTGCTCTCTCTTCCTCAATTTCTTTCCCCACTCACTTCCATCCCACCTTCTCACTCTCGCTCTCTTCCTTACATGCATATACAACGTTAGTTTCCTGTGCCCTTGAAGTAATCTGTTCGTATTTCTTCGGCTCTTCTTGTTCTTTTAGTCTGAGTCACTCCCCTAAAATAGCTTCATTGCTTGCCTCATTTAAACGAAACAGCTGCTGCCTATGCCCTTATATGCTTCCTTTCTTGTTCTCACATAACCTTACATCATCACAGACTCGACTGTGTTTACATCGGTTACAGTAACATACTGGCGCTGCGTTGCTTGAATCCGTTCGTTTTGGTGAATGGTTTAGATGGTTGTGACTGGTGTTCAGTACGGTTCTTATCTCTCATTTTCTGTCACTTCCTCATTCTCTTTTATTCCTCTCTTTCCTCTGTCTTTCCACTTGTTGAATAAATAGCTAATTACCCCTTGATATGGTTGGACATCTATTTAACTTAATGTAAAGAAAGAATAACCATGAAGAGTTGAGAAACGAACGTTTTTTTTTTTTCACTGCTGAATTCCTTGAGATCCATTGGGTCCCATAGTCCATAGTACTACGCTGGACCCTAGGGCAGGAAAAACCCTCGGCTAGATTAAGTTTTCGAACGTCCTACGCACGGCATTGACAGTGAATGCCTTGGGATTTTGTTTTGAGATTGTTAATGATCAATCAATTTTGCGAAATACAGAAACGGCAGCCGCCCTGTGAACAAAGGAGACGAACGACATCCCAGTGGATGCCTGTGAGCCCGCCGCCCATTTTTCGGAGTCTCGGGGATTCCGCGGCTCTCCCCCGCCCCCGCCTTCCACAGTCACACGCCGGACGCGGGGGCGGAGGCGCTCCATAAGGCCTGGTGAGTCACCGCCAGGCCTGCCCACAAAAGGACTTCATTATCGCCCGCAGCCCGGGGGCGGGGCGGTCCAACACGGGCGGGCGTGACGTGGCCAACTGCGCGGCGGGCGGCGTTCGTGTGTGGTTAAGCGCTTGTGTTACGCTTGTCATATTGTTCTCTTTAGGACCAATTTCGCTTGAACGGCGGCTGCTCCTCGGGTACAGGGATCACGAACGGCAATCCCCCACCCCCCCCGCGTGTCTAGAGTATAAAATTCGAAAGGGTTTTGCCGCCGCGGAGTCCGTCGCTCGCCGCCCTCGGGAATTAGAGCGCTTGTCGTGGCATGTCACTCTCCCACTCGGGCTCTCGGCGATGAGTCAGGCCTCGTTGAGCCGCTTCGATAAGATATGTCATATTTGCGATTGATAATGTTTAACAGGAACCGGAGTTTCAGTTTGGAGATCGGGTAAAAGCCTGTGCTAAATGAGTTGGGTGAATAGATATTTCTTGGGAGTGAAAAGTATGGAAATCATATACGTCTATTGCAGATTTTAGGTGTGTGTGTGTGTGTGTGTGTGTGTGTGTGTGTCTGTGTGTGTGTGTGTGTGTATTCTCTCTCTCTATCCTCTCTCTTTATTCCTCTCTCTACTCTCTATCTATCTTTATCCTATATTTATCTCTATATCTATCTATCTATATATATATATATAATATATATATATATATTATATATATATATGTATGTATGTATATATATACACATCTTTGTGTGTATTTATTTACACACACACACGCGCACACACACACACACACACACACACACACACACACACACACACACACACACACACACACACACACACACACACACACACACACACACACGATATTGCGTCCATGCATTCCTGTAAGCCTAACCCTTTCCCTTCCTCACCAGCTCTGACGGTGCGGTACCTCACCCGCCGGTACATCAGCGAGTACCGTCGATCCATCGATCTGCTGTACCGTCACACAGTATGTCTTGATGACGTCACTTCCGAGGTGGAGATCCTTGACGTGTCCTTCCGAGATGTGAGTGAGATGACACCGTCTTGTGTTGTTGTTTTTCTCTTTTTCATTTTTGTTATCATTGGTATTATTTTTTTCTTTTTATCTTGGTGTTGTTATCATTTTTGTGATTTGTTTTCTCATTGTTATTGTTATCGCTGTTATGATTATTTATTGTTATTATTATTTTTATTGTTATTATGATTTTTATTGTTATTATTATATGTTTAATTATTGTTATTATTGTTATTATCACCATTGTTATTAGTATTGTTATTGTTATTGCTATTATAATTATAATCACACTTTTGATTAATATCTATACTCTCATTAATACCATTAATAGTAATTCTAGTTTCTATAAGTAACCAGATTTTTTCCTTATCTTCCTCTTCCACCACGTCCTCTTCCTCCTCCTTCTTTTTTGCTTCACCTCCTCCTCTTCCTCCTTTTCCTCCACCTCCTCCTTCTCCTTTTCTTCCCCCTTCTCATCCTCCTCCTCTTCCTCCTACCTCTTTTCCTTCACCTCTTCCTCCTCCTCCTTTTCCTTCACCAGTACCTCCTCCTCTTCCTTTTATCCCACCTCCTCCTTCTCTCCCTCCCTCTTCTCCTTTTCCTCCACCTATTCTTCCTCCTCCCTCTTTTCCTCCTCCTTTTTCTTCACCTTTCCTCCCATCCTCCTCCTCCTCCTCTTTCTCCTCTGCCTCCTCCTAATTCTCTCTCTTCCTTCTTCTCCCCTTCTCCTCCTCTTCCTCTTCTCTTTCCTTCTTTCCTTCCTTTCTCCTCCTCCTTCCTCCTCCTCCTCCTCCTCCTCCTCCTCCTCCTCCTCCTCCTCCTCCTCCTCCATTCCCCCATTCATCACCCTCCCTTCTCTCCCCAGAGCGAGTACGAGAGCGTCTCTCCCGCGCACACCCGTTGGGGCGAAGGCTTCGTGGTCGTCTATTCGGTGGACGACCTTATGTCCTTCCACGAGGCGCGAGTGATCCTGGACGGCCTGCAGAGGCTGAAGGCGCCGCTCTACGTGCCCGTCATCCTGCTGGCCAACAAGAGGGACCTCGACCCCGGCAGACAGGTGGGACGGGCGGGGCGGTGTGTGTACGCATGTGCACACACACACACACACACATATATATATATATATATATATATATATATATATATATATATATATATATATATGTGTGTGTGTGTGTGTGTGTGTGTGTGTGTGTGTGTGTGTATGTGTTACACACATATATATGTATGTATATATGTATATAGATATATACTGTATATATATATATATATATATATATATATATATATATATTATATATTTATATACATATATATATACATATACATACTGTATATATACATACACATATTCATGTATTTACGCATATACGTTTAATGTTGAGTGGATGTGTAGTCATGTAAATTTGCACAAACTTGACAAAGTGAGGAAATAGGAAGAAATATCAAAAGTTTTTTTAACTTTTCCTCCCCAAGCAATTTGAGCTAATATAAGACCGACCCCCCCCCCCCCAGGTCTCGGTGGAGGAGGGCAGGCGCTGTCCCTGCAACACGGGTGCCAGTTCTACGAGGTGAGTGCCGCCGAGAGCCACGTAGGCGTCACTCTGGCATTCCAGGCACTGCTCAGGGAGACCCGGTCACTGCAGATGACCCGCCCGACGCCCCGACAGCGCCGACTCTCCATCGTGGCCGTCTCCAGGTGAGTTCGCGGGGAAAGATGGTCGTTATGCGGGTACACCCTAGTTGCCACCATTACCACAACCCATGCGAATGCTGTGCTGGAGCCCAGACTTCGGATTAGAGCTCTGTATATATATATATATATATATATATATATATATATATATATATATATATATATATATATATATATGTGTGTGTGTGTGTGTGTGTGTGTGTGTGTGTGTGTGTATGTGTGTGTGTGTTTACAGATACCTAACCAGACCATAAGGACGTCTGCACTTTCGTTAAATCTGACGAGTCTATTGTATCACATTTTTTTTTATAAGTTGATATATCATGATTACGAACTCCAACTTACACCGAAGCCATGGTCAAGCATCGCATTCGCATCGCTTGCGGTGAAGGTAGTTACTCTGGGACACACATGTGCGCCGTGTGGATGTCTTATACATCTTATGTCTTATACCGTGTGGATGTCTAATAATACATGTGTGTGTGTGTGTGCATATGCATATATATATATATATATATATATATATATATATATATATATATAATATATATATATATGTATATATGTATATATTATATATTATTATATATATATATATATGTATATATATATATATATATATATATATATATATATATATTATATATATATATATCTGTGTGTGTGTGTGTGTGTGTGTGTGTGTGTGTGTGTGTGTGTGTGTGTGTGTGTGTGTGTGTGTGTGTATATATGTTTTATATATAGTCGAATACATAGATGAGCTTCATTTTCTCATCCCGAAACAAATTCAGCGTTAATATTAAGTTTTAATTTCAGTTTTATTTAATTTTTTTTTCTTCTTTGTGGGTCCTGTGTTTCATTTCTTTTCTTTTCTTCGTGAACACCACTTATTTGCTTTTATTCTCTCTCTTTACTCTTTCCTTCTCTCCTCCTTTTACTCTTTCCTTCTCTCTTCCTTTTACTCTTTCCTTCTCTCCTCCTTTTACTCCTTCTCTCCTCCTTTTACTCTCCTTCTCCCCTTTTACTCTTTCCTTCCCTCCTCCTTTTACTCTTTCCTTCTCTCCTCCTTTTACTCCTTCCTTCTCTCCTCCTTTTACTCTTTCCTTCTCTCCTCCTTTTACTCTTTCCTCCTCTCCTCCTTTTCCTCTTCCTTCCCTCCTTTTACTCTTTCCTTCCCTCCTCCTTTTACTCCTTCCTTCCCTCCTCCTTTTTACCCTTTCCTTCCCTCCTTTTACTCTTTCCTTTCCCTCCTCCTTTTCTCTCCTCATTTTACTCTCCTTCTCTTCCTTTTACTCTTTC